GTGATGCACTCTGCGGTTGAGAAGTCGGTATGATGGCCAAGTGCTGAACCCTAAAAAGCTACTGAGCTCGCAGTGGATGAGAAGGATGAGGTCACTGCCAGGCTAGTGGTCACCGGTGAAGCTATTCTACCATATCCCAAACAATAACAGGTCGATATGGGATGTAAGAAGAACATTTTGTACATTCAGTTCATAAGTGCACCAAAGGGTAGGGTGATACTCATCTTTTTTTTCGTTTGATGTTTCCTTGAACCTGCTTTCCCAAACCTAATTATAATCTAATCCAGTCCAGTACACTTGAGTAAAATGCTACTGCCTTTGACTTCTACCGCTACCCTTTGCTCCACCAGCCAACGCGTGGCCTACAACCATGAAAACAGATCAGTTTGCACCCAACTACCCAGATTCTGCCACCTGACTGTCCTTCATGGCCACCTTCCAGCCAGAGATGCCATCTCCAGCGAACGCGGCGGCTCCACGCATTCCCAACAGCACTCAGGCGATGGCCATGATCCTAAAGCGGGTCGGATGGCAGATACCGGGCGGCACAACAATCGTCCCGCTTATGCACCTAACGGTCCGCCTAGCGACACAGCTGCAATGCGGGTGGTCCAGGCCCCGACCGACTGCGAACAGGCCCCCTGGGATGTGATCGCCCTGGCGGCCCTGTCTGCTATAGAGGTAGGCAGGTGCTGCCTGCGAGCAGCCGGAGGACGGCTGGAAAGGGCGGCTAACCCCGCGACGCAACGGCCAGAGCAAGCGCAACAGATCCAGGCGCAAGGACCCCAACAGCGGCGGATAACGGACTTCTCCCACCTGGGCAATGGAGCGAGACCGCAGGAGGGCCCGTTGCTGAACGCGCCGGTACTCGAGGATCAAACGCAGGGGCGAGTGTTTTGCGCGTTCAATGCTTGCCAAGCAGTGAAAGCTGGGGCATTGATTATTAGCGTCTTATAAATTATATACATAAGGATGTTTTGTAACTTTGGACCATCATTTCCATGGCCATCTGCTGGGCGTCCGCTGGAACGGTCAGGATGTACGGCGTTGCGGACAGGGAAGCGTCCGCGGGCGGGGTATAAGTTCCTGCAAAGCACTCGGCACAAATCAGCTGCGTCTACGCACTTGCATCAGGTACAAAGTCGACATTCCTCCTTTCGCATGCATTGGGTAGACGGCAATTCCCCGCAGCGGCCCCCTTGGCAATCCAATCCCTTGGCTCAGCCAACCCTGCCACTATGAGCCACTGTAACGGATCTCCTTGTACATCTTATACATGCCACTACCACCACCATCACCACCACTTATAATTGGTTTAACCGTAAGTCCTCCCTAATATCGTGGCCTCGTATTTTGTCGCATAGTGTCGTACAGTATAGCTGTAGCATCGTCATAGGTAAGGTTAGTCTCGGATCCGGCAAAACACAAAACAAAATTACACGCCTACTGGTAATAAAGGCACAAGCAAGCACGCATTCACACGTAAACCACCACTGCCACAGCCATTCACTGCAACACACGTACACACGTACACACACACAAAAGGCTGACCCGTTATCCGACAGGCAAACACCAAAACCAAACGCCTCCAAACCAATAACATCGCAATTCTCTTCTCCCCCCCCCACTCGCAGCCAGCTCTCTCTCCTCCCCTCTCCTCCCACCCCCCATGTACAGCACCTCCTGCCCCCATAGCCCCTCATCATTGCCGTCGGAAGGTACCCTAGCCACGCTACCCAAGCGCCACTGGCGCCGCCGCCGCCACT